TTTTTTTCATGTTATCCCGATTTGTTCAGTGCTGTTCAGACCATTCTCTTTCTGCAGTGAACAAGCGTTTACTTACCGCAAAAAGTAACCAGTAATTCTACCAGTAAAACTGTACCCAATCGTGCTGGAGCTCTCATCGTCAAAACTGGCTAGCCTGCCTAAGAAAACCCTCGTCCTGACGTGAGAGCAGCTTCTTCAACGAACAGTGAGATCCGTGTCTGATTCTATTACGCAAGTGTATCTATTTCAACGATATCTGTGTCTGTGACAACCGCATCAGAATCACAAAACGCATCCACTAAAAGCAATTAAGCTTATAAAAAATCCAACAAAAGTGATTGGTTAGCCAAAGGCATTGTTCCAGCGCGCGTTTGAAGTTCTATCCTTCTATTCTCTATCGATCTCATTGCTTCTCTCATAGCACCTTGTGTCTTAACACTCAGGAGGTGCGTTCTTGGAAGTTTTCTGAAACGCCTCTCTCGCCTTGGGTCCAGAACGCGACAAGAGACGTCCGAATGAGGGGAGCAGTGATTTGATACGCTTGGGTCCCCTAGTCACCGCCCACCTAACACATATATCATATAGGAGGAGGACAGAGAGAGAGAGTGAGAGAGAGAGAGAGTGAGAGAGAGTGGGAGGGAGAGGGAGTAGGGGAGACTCAAAAGAGAGAGAGAGAAGGATGGAGAGAGAGAAGGAGAGAGAGATGGAAGGAGGGGAAGGAAGGGAAGGATCTTATTTAGTGTACTACATGATGTGAAAGGGGCCTATACATGTTACATGTAGTCTTTGGCCCGAAGACTTGTTTATTGTTGCTGCACTGTCGGGTTTTGTATATTGTGTCGTTTAACAAGGCAAAAACTGCTTTGATGAAACGCACAGAACAACAGCAAATATAGTGAAATAGATGACCATGTCTTAAGAAAATTGAGTCTTCTCATACAACATACATATATCAAAATACTGTGTATAATTGATAAGATTAAGGATCATTTATCCCTTGAGACCTTTCCATTCCATGACAAATTGTCAAGATATACTTTCATCGCTTAAATAAATCTAGAGGACGGACAGTTAGGAAACGTGTGGAATTTTCATCGAAAAATATCTTTTTCGCATGCAACTAATACAATTTCAGCGCGGAACCCTTTCCTTTTATTTTGATAAAATGACGCAGGAAAGAAGGCAAATTAGTTGCGGCCATGAGAAGAGGAATTCACAAATGCCTCCCCTGTGCCTCTGCGTATGTCACTTACTGTGTTCTGACTTCGATTTATTGGATTTGCGTTTCTAGATATAGAATTACAAGTCGATGATTTTTAGATAACAACTGACGACTCCTCAAACACATACGGATAACGCCTGCAATGGTTATTCTCAAATTCTCAAATTTTTAATCACGCAGTCGCGATTCATTACGAGGTAAAAAGCTTGTAAGTTGCCTGAGGCAGACACGGCGTTTTCTCTTTGGAAATAGGACTAGATTAATTCTTATGAAACGTCTGCGCATGCCCTGCGGGATATTTCTCAGTTGGGATGGAAAACCTCGGCACTTTTCTTCGCTTTGTTAACGGCCTGAACGGCAGCATAGAACATTTCCAGGAATGAGGTGGGGGTACGTACTGTACTGGCTGTATTCTCTTCTGTGTTACCCCCATTGTAGCATACACTGACAGATCTGGGATATCAAAAGCCTGGCGAGGGGGGGGGGGGGGGTCTTCTTTTTTGTGGTTAGGATAGTTGTTTATACACTGGCGACAAAAGGTTGGTTCACCTTATGAGTTTTTTTCCTTGCCTTCGGTATTGATAGTAGTGTTTAAGACTTCATTCACTGGTTTTTCTTACGTAAGTTAGAAGAAATATGCACACGTGTACCCCTGTGTCACACCGTGCCCACGCGTGCTTAGAATAAAGCCATGTAGTCAGGGTATTATAGCTAGCCAGGGCATAAATATATATATAAAACATCATTTTAACCATACTCTTTCTTGCCATTGATATCGAAATGAAAAACAACATGATCGCCTGCACGAACACAGACCTTAAAAAGATTTTCTTTCCAGACGTCTTCAAACTGACGGGGAAACTGTTAACAGAATTTCCAGAGACGTGTTTTTCAATGGCACTGTCAATCATGACGCACCTGTGTGTCGGCCCCGCCCCCTCTCTATAGCTTAAGGTGGTCGTGTACTACTCCACGTTGCCAGTAAATGACGACCAAATCTGCAAAAACAGTACCTCTAGTACTACATGTCCGATCGGATAATTAAAAATTCCTGCAAGACCTTCTGACCGAGCAGGGCTGAAAACGTCCAAGAATTCAAGACTGAAACACGCTTAGGCCTATAAGTTATTCACAGTGTAGCCATATTTGAGATTTTCTTGGACCCCAAGGCAATTAGAGATAAAGTAGTAAAAAGTTACGAAAATACGCAAGAGGCAGCTCACACGTCAAACGCCCGCCCATATATTTATATTTTCAGCACGGAATACAAAAAAGCGTAGATATTATTTTGATCTGCCAAAACTGCATCATTTGTTCATTTTCGAGGGAAGTTTCGATAAACAATTAATGATGAGGGTGGTAATGATTTTCATCCTTATATATACGCTATGTAAAGCCACAAATACCTTTTTTCGCATTCTATTTATTCTATATTTCTTCATTCTCCTCTATCCGTTCTCTTCTCTCTTTTCTGTCTCTACTCTTGCCAGTCTCCTAGGTTTTAATACATGTATAACATGCTGCTGTTTTATGTACAGTGTATCATCCACAGTGAATTCACACACCAATCAATCTCATCCCATGTTTACAAACACTCCCATCTTTTACTCTCACTTTATGCAAATCAATACTTAACATTGCATAAGCGTCAGGTCATCTCGATCCTATCCCCCTCGCCCCCCCCTCGCCCCTCACAAATAAAATACTCTCAAGCACGACAAAATGAACGTAATTTGAATTAAACTTTTTAATAATCAGGGTATGTTAATTGAGTTGAATACTTATTTGAATGATCTTGCTTGGGTGCCTGGTAGCCAAAGTATTTTGTTTAGAATTGATTTTCTGGTTTCGCGGTAAGTTCTGATTCTGGGAACGTAATAATATAAAATGAAGTTCGAGGGGCCTGCATATGTTTACAACGGGAACGCAAAAGGCGGAACTGAAAAATGCTTTCTTTCTTAATTTGATGAAAAAAAAATCTATAATTTCGTTTTGTTTTCTGAATTTTAAAAATTATTAATTTATTAGTAATTAATAAATAATAAACAACATACGATGTTTTTTTTTTTTTTTGTTTTTCAGTAAATTTTCTTAAAATGGTATTTTTAGTTGAAATGTAGTTTATATGTTCTCCCAAACACCAATATGTTTAAAAAGCCGTAGGAGTGATGAAGTTCTATTGCGCACGCTCAGGTATTTTCTGCCAGCCAGACAAGAGGGCGGGTGCACACTTTCACTTTAGTTTTGAAGCGTTTTAAACCTAGATGGCGACGTACATGTAAATAATTTCACACAATTTTCATGTGCCATATAATATCAGAAAAAGTCCTCAAAACCTTATCCTTTCTATAACATGAATGTAAATATAAATGTAAATGTTAATGAAAATATTTGATGATAGTTTAATTTGAATAAATGTCTTCATTAAACATATTTTGTAGTCTTGATTATGCGCGCCACCTATGAATCAAGCATGTGACCTTGACGTCATTTTCCACATTTGATGTCAACAAAGTTCAGTTCCAGGGAACTCATTCGCATTTGTCAAAAATATGATGGAGGCACAGGTTAACGACGACAGGCCAAATCAAGGGCCGGAATTCGACGGTGCCAGACTAGAAATTCATGGTCCGGAAACAAGGGAAAACGTCCCGAGTGTCGACTTCAAGGGACCTAATTTAAGCCAAGGGAAAATGAATCGCAGTATGAGCGTCGGAAGTGGAAACGGTCGAAGACCAAATTTCACTATGACGGATTATGCTTTGAAGTCTTACTTCTGCTACAGAGTAGGTGCCTTCTACTCAAGTTTCATTTCCAAAATAAACGTGTTTTAGAATAAGGTTAACGTAGTCTTGAAAAATGTCATTACGATATCAAAGTCGTTGAAAAAAGTAGCCCTGCCTCTTTTTAATTCCCATGGCCATACTCAAACACTACAATAAGCCTGAAGGAATATCATAGAATTACTAACAACGCAGAGACAGGTCATTAACTTGACAAATTTGCAGAATTTATTAATTAATTAATTAATTAATTAATTAATTGTTATAAAGACCCACCTACACTCGTTGTGTGATTTGTAAATATATATATAGATATATATGTGTGAAAAAAAAACAACAAACAAACATAAATTGCATTCAGGCATTCTTTCACTTAATATATATACTGCGCAGCTATAGTAGTGGAAGTTGGACTAATAACCGTTCCAAATCAGCCCTAGTCTTGCCAGGCATGTATTACACAATCAAAAATACAAATGGAGCTTGTTTATATATTTGTTTATTTCAGGACGGGTCCTTTGAGAACGCCGTGGAGGCCTGTAAGGAGTCGGTGGTCAGTGAAGAGCTGGACGGTCAGCTGAGAGGAGCATGGCTGCTTACGGAGTAAGAGATTTATTTTTCTGATGGATGTGCCTGCCTGTGTTTAACATGATATGTGTGTGTGTGTGTTTATGTGCACGTGCTTTCCCCAGAGGTGTCCAGCTGTCTTTATAAAGACTTATTACTAGTGCAAAAAATTTGGGTTGGTTGGTTGGGCTTGCTTGGGTTGAACTCCCTTACATACTGTATATAAATGGATGACCAGGTTAAAGATTCATATTTTGGACTCCCTTTACCCCAAATCCAAGGGAAACTCCCTGTATATAATATGTATATTTTTTAAATTTTTTGTTCATTTGTGAAATTAAAACAAATTAGTGTGTAGATTAAAAAAATATATGTTAAAGGGGATGTGAAAAAGGGCAGGGTTACCAGTTTATCCTCCCCCTCCCTGAATCACCTTTATTTACCTTTTCAATCATGAAAAGACCTCACATACTCCAGCAGATTAACTAGTTAAACACATTAGCAAAGTAAACAAAGCTGAAACCTCTATGAATATCATAATGTCAATAAATGGGCTGTATGTACTAGCAGGTGCTCTATTGTGGTCATATCCTTACTAATCTGTATATGATTTATATACTGTACATGTATATTCTTCCTTTTATCATGTGCATTTAGCATATTATGAAGATATATCCATGTGTATGTCCTGTAGGTGTCTGGGGCTCTATAGGAATATTAATCCTACAGGACTCTACAGATTTCCTATAGGAGTCAACCTGTAGGACCCTACACCTTAGGAAGTTTTCTTAAGGAATATTACAGCCTTTGTAAAAATGTGCTTTCAAATAAAAAGTATTCATAAATAAATATTAAACTTATATACCAAATTAATTTATTTATTTAATTTATTTATTAATTATACAATACACAGATTAACCTGGGGTTGACCTCTCACTTCCTTTCTTTCAGAATTGACCACTGGGACGCCGAGAAAGAAAAAATGGTACTCCTCACAGAAAACTCCCTGCTTATCGTGAAGTATGACTTTGTAGCCATCAAGATGTTGAGGTTTCGCCGGGTGATGCTGCACCTGCTGGATACCATAGAGGTGGGAGAGATAGTGTACCCAGACAAGTCTATTATGCCGTGAGTATTGTTATAACACCTGTAATTTATTATATGGCAATCACTCAATGTTTTCATTTGGGGACAATTGCAATTTTTTTTCAGGTACTGTAATTTTTTTAAGTCACAAATTCTTAAAATTAGAACATTCCTATTCAGGTGCAGACCCAGAGATATTTTCTGACAGTCTTACAAATTATCCCAGTTGATCCATCCTCCATTTTTGACCGCCTCAATAGAAAAAATTAATGCCCTTCAATGTAAACTTAAAATTTTGACCGTCTTTGGGAAGACTCAGAAGACGGCCTCCATCCGCCTCTGCTATTGTTAATTGTAGCAACTAAATTACAAAGTAGTCTATCAGACCATTCTGCTCTGTACAGTAAAAGCACTCACAGTAGCTATGT